CGAGTTCCCATGACTCTCCCGTCTCTCGCAGCTCAGTGGCATCCCGTGCATCTGGTCTCAGGTGCTACGGCTCCCATCAGCAGCATGTCGACGGAAGCCTGGGAGCAGCAGCCCTGCAACGCCTTTTCCAATGCGGCCTTCTTTGAGATCTCCTTGCAGGCCTGCAAGACGGCCAGTGACTTGGTATGGAAAGGTATGGTGTATATTATGTATATTAGTATACCTGTTATACAATATGATATACAGTATATATATATATAGAGTATATATGGTCCCGTCCTCCGTCTCTCCACCCCCGAATGGGTTGGGTCCCCAGGTACCACCCCCCTTCCCTTCTATTTGCAAGCTATTGGCAGCATTTCTGAGGTCCAGCTTCGGATTTGCTAGGTCTTTGCAGCATTTCTGACTACCAGCCTCGCATTTACTAGGTACATGCTACCTTTTCTGAGACCTACGCAGCGCACAGACTCCCTCAAAGTACCTACGTGACGCCTACGTGCTACCTATAGTCATATATACATGTGCTATGTATCTACTTCCTATTTACTACCTGTGTACTCTGACAACACTACTTGTGTTTTCAACATATACCGTACCTACCATGCATTCCAATGATGCCATGCATACCATACCTATCATAACTATAATACATACCACACATACCATACATATGAAACATAATTACCACGCCTACCTACCATACATACAATAGCAAACGTACATGCCATACATACCATACCTACCTTACATAAGAAGCCCATCATAGTAACCATACATACCATACAGACCATACATACTGTCATATCAAACATACCATACCCAACAGACTTCCATACCATACCTACCATCCATACAATACCACCATTCATGCCCTACATACCATACCTACCATACATACCATACTTTCCAAACATGCCAAACCAGACCGACCATACACACCATACATACCCAACATACCATACCACACCCCCACCACACCACACGGGGGGGAGGGGGACAGTGCTGGGTCCCCAGGTAGCATACCCCCTTCCCTTCTATTTGCAAGCTACTGGCAGCATTTCTGAGGTCCAGCTCCGTATTTGCTAGGTCTTGCAGCATTTCTGACTACCAGCCTCGCATTTACTAGGTACATGCTACATGCTACCTTTTAGGTGACCTAAGTAGCACACATACTCCCTCAAAGTACCTACGTGACGCCTACGTGCTACCTATAGTCATATATACATGTGCTATGTACCTACTTCCTATTTACTACCTGTGTACTCTGACAACACTACTTGTGTTTTCAACATATACCGTACCTACCATGCATTCCAATGATGCCATGCATACCATACCTATCATACCTATCATACATACCACACATACCATACATATGAAACATAATTACCACACCTACCATACATACAATAGCAAACATACATGCCATACATACCATACCTACCATACATACCAAACATACCATACTTTCCAAACATGCCATACTTTCCAAACATGCCAGACCAGACCGACCATACACACCATACATACCCAACATACCATACCACAACCCCACCACACCACAGGGGGGAGGGGGACAGTGCCACACCCCCACCACACCACAGGGGGGGGAGGGGGAAGATCTCAATATGGGACCCAACCCATGAGGGGGGGGGTGGCAGGGCCTGGTGCATATATAGTATATAGTATATAGTATATAGTATATAGTATATAGTATATAGTATATAGTATATAGTATATAGTATATAGTATATATATATGTATATAGAGTATAGTATAGTATATAATATGATATATTATGGTAGTTATAATGGTATATATATATATATATATAAATGGAACAGGCATCCAAGTCATCCGCGATGGACCAGTAGAAAGCTCCCATGTTTGGACCAGTTGGTCACCTCGATCGATGGGCGGTAAAAAGTACTTTAATTTGACATGTCATATTTAATATGATATATATATATATATATCATTATATCATACCATATTATCAGGTTATATAAATGGGTATATGACGATATGATGATATGATGATATGATAATATGGGTATGAGTAAATATATATGATTATATGATGATATATGTTAATCTAGCCAATGCTTTCTATTTTTGCAGGGCATCTAAGATTAGGCAGGTGTGTGAAGAGCAGTTTGCTGCGGAGAGATTGGGAAAATCAATGTAAATTGTGGTGGCCTCACCACGAGGTCATGGAAACAGCAATCATTTTCCAAGAGGTGATATGACTTGGGTTATCTGCAGAAACGGAAAGCCCCTCATCTGTGACGCGGAAATCTTCCTCATCTGTGACGCGGACGTGTTTCCTCAACTGTGACGCGGTCCCTCCGTTGTGACGCGAGGTGGGGTTTTGCGTGGCAGGCGTGGCACTTTGTGCCATCGATGGTCTCCTTGTGTGGCGCGTGTTGGGCTTGGTGACATTGACTTTGCGTTCCTGTGGTTTTCCCAAAGCGGGCTTGCCTAGCTGCTCTGGTCCTTTTCCCGTGGCTCTGATTCCGTGCTCCTTGCTCTGTCTGGTGGTCCGTTTTGCCCGCTCAGCTGCCCAAGTCCATCAAAACGGACCTTCCTAGCTTGTCTGCTCTTCATCTGCTTAGCTGTGCTCCTTGCTCTTTCTGGCTGTCCGTTTTGGCCGCTCAGCGGCCCAAATCCTGCAAAACGGACCTCCCCAGCTCTCCCAGTCCTGGTTTGCTTGGCGGTGCTCCTTGCTGTTGCGCGCCTTGGTGAGAGAGCCGCCGAAATTGTGCAAAGCGGGCTTGCCCAGCTGATCGTTTGTTTTGTGTCCTCCTGTCCCGTGGCTGTGCTTCTGTGCTCCTTTCTCTCTCTGGTACTCCGTTTTGTCCGCTGAGCAGCGCAAATCCTCCAAAACGGACCGCCCCAGCTTCCACCCTTGGTCTGCTCGCCTGCGCTCCTGGCACTGTCGGATGGTCTGTTTTGTCCGCTTAGCAGCCCAAATCCCTGAAAACGGACCTCCCCAGCACTTCCACGGATCATAACGTCAGTGTTCCTCTACACACACATGCACGGCAACCTCATCACACGAGAGCTGGCGGTGGGTCTCTTTTCCTTTCTCTCCCTGGTGCTCTCGCATACAGGAAATGATCTTAAAATTTTGGGAGAAAACCGGTATATCCACACACAGGATCTCACAGAAAGCAACCGCCATCTGGAGACAGCCAGGAAAAGGAGCGAGCAGACACAGGTACAACCTCTGTGTCCAGTGAGAGCGGTGAAAAAGTCGAAGGTTTCTGTCCCTGTCTCTCCCTGGTTTTGTCGGCTGAGCGGCCCAAATCCTCCAAAACAAACCTCGCCAGCTTGGTCTGCTGGGCTGTGCTCCTTGCTCTTTCTCTGGTGGTCCGTTTTGGCCGGTGAGCAGCCCAAATCCGTCAAAACCGACCTCCCCTGCTCTTCCAACCTCATCGGTCTCTGCCCCTTTCTCTCCCTGGTGCTCCGTTTTGTCCGCTGAGCGGCCCAAATCCTCCAAAACGGACCTCGCCGGCTCGGTCTGCTTGGCTGTGGTCCCGTTTTGGCCGCTCAGCAGCCCAAATCCTCCAAACCCGCCCTCGTCAGCTTCGTCTGCTTGGCTGTGCTGCGTGCTTCTCTGGTGGTCCGTTTTTGGCCCCCGGTGGTCCGTTTTGGCCGCTCAGCAGCCCAAATCCTCCAAAACGGACCTCGCCAGCTTGGTCTGCTTGGCTGTGCTCCTTGCTCTCCCTCTGGTGGTCCGTTTTGGCCGCTCAACAGCCCAAATCCTCCAAAACGGACCTCGCCAGCTAGGTCTGCTTGTCTGCTCTCTCCGTTTTGGCCGCGCAGCAGCCCAAATCCTCCAAAACGGACGTCGCCAGCTTGGTCAGGTTGGCTGTGCTGTTTTGGCCGCTCAGCAACCCAAATCCTGCAAAACGGACCTCGCCAGCTTGGTCTGCGTGGCTGTGCTCCCTGCTCTCCCTGTGGTGGTCCGTTTTGGCCGCTCAGCAGCCCAAATCCTCCAAAACGGACCTCGCCAGCTTGGTGAGCTTGGCAGTGCTCCATGCTCTCCCTCTGGTGGGCCGCTCAGCAGCCCAAATCCTCCAAAACGGACCTCGCCAGCTTCGTCTGCTTGGCTGTGCTCCTTCCTCTCCTCTGGTGGTCCGTTTTGGCCGCTCAGCTGCCCAAATCCTCCAAAACGGACCTCGCCAGCTTGGTCTGCTTGGCTGTGCTCCTTGCTCTCTCTCTGGTGGTCCGTTTTGGCCGCGCAGCAGCCCAAATCCTCCAAAACGGACCTCGCCAGCTTCGTCAGGTTGGCTGTGCTCCTTGCTCTCCCTCTGGTCGTCCGTTTTGGCCGCTCAGCAGCCCGAATCCTTCCAAACGGACCTCGCCACATTGCTATGCTCGGCTGTGCTCCTTGCTCTCCTTCTGGTGGTCCGTTTTGGCCGCTCAGCAGCCCAAATCCGTCACCTGCTTGGTCTGCTTGGCTGGCCTCCTCTGTTGGTCCGTTTTTGGCCGCTCAGCAGCCCGAATCCTTCAAAACGGACCTCGCCACATTGCTATGCTGGGCTGTGCTCCTTGCTCTCCTTCTGCTGGTCCGTTTTGGCCGCTCAGCAGCCCAAATCCGTCAAAACGGACCTCGCCTGCTTGGTCTGCTGGGCTGGCCTCCTGCTGGTCCGTTTTGGCCGCTCAGCAGCCCAAATCTTCCGGGCTGCTGAGCGGCCAAAACGGACCACCAGGGAGAGAAAGGGACAGAGACCCACCGCCAGCTCTCGTGTGATGAGGTTGCCGTGCCAGTGTGCGAGCGGGAACATGGACGTTATCCCACCCCACCCCCCACCCCACCGCACCCCCACCCAGTGGGAGAGCTGGGTAGGTCTCCAGAGAGAGGGAGAGCAGCCAAGCAGACGAAGCTGGCGCGGTCCGTTTTGGAGGATTTGGGCTGCTGAGCGGCCAAAACGGACCACCAGAGGGAGAGCAAGGAGCACAGCCCAGCATAGCAAGCTGGCGAGGTCGGTTTTGAAGGATTCGGGCTGCTGAGCGGCCAAAACGGACCACCAGAGGGAGAGCAAGGAGCACGGCCAAGCAGACGAAGCTGGCGAGGTCCGTTTTGGAGGATTTGGGCTGCTGAGCGACAAAAACGGACCACCAGCGGGAGCAGGGAGCACAGCCAAGCATAGCAAGCTGGCGAGGTCCGTTTTGAAGGATTTGGGCTGCTGAGCGGCCGAAACGGACCACCAGAAGAGCAGGGGGGACAGCCAAGCAGACCAAGCTGGCGAAGTCCGTTTTGAAAGATTTGAGCTGCCGAGCGGCCAAGACGGACCACCAGAGGAGCCAGCCAAGCAGATATACCGATTTTCTGCCAAGATTTGCAGTTCATGTCCTGTATACCGGGGATCTCCAGCTCAGTCGGCAGAGGGCAAGGCCCTTAACCTGAAGATTGAGAGTTCGAATCTGGCCGTGCACATCCGCCGGTTGTTGGGAAGGTCCGTTTTGAAGGATTTGGGCTGTTGAACGGCCAAAACGGACCTCCAGAGGGAGAGCAAGGAGCACAGCCAAGGAGATTAAGGTGGCGAGGACCGTTTTGGAGGATTTGGGCTGCTGAGGTCCGTTTTGGAGGATTTGGGCTGCTGAGCGGCCAAAACGGACCACCAGAGGGAGAGCAAGGAGCACACCCCAGCATAGCAAGCTGGCGAGGCCCGTTTTGAAGGATTCGGGCTGCTGAGCGGCCAAAACGGACCACCAGAGGGAGAGCAAGGAGCACGGCCAAGCAGACGAAGCTGGCGAGGTCCGTTTTGAAGGATTCGGGCTGCTGAGCGGCCAAAACGGACCACGAGAGAGAGGGAGAGCAAGGAGCACAGCCAAGCAGACGAAGCTGGCGAGGTCCGTTTTGGAGGATTTGGGCTGCTGAGCGGCCAAAACGGACCACCAGAGGGAGAGCAAGGAGCACAGCCCAGCATAGCAAGCTGGCGAGGTCCGTTTTGACGGAATCGGGCTGCTGAGCGGCCAAAACGGACCACCAGAGGGAGAGCAAGGAGCGGCCAAGCAGACGAAGCTGGCGAGGTCCGTTTTGGATGATTTGGGCTGCTGAGCGACAAAAACGGACCACCAGCGGGAGCAGGGAGCACAGCCAAGCATAGCAAGCTGGCGAGGTCCGTTTTGAAGGATTCGGGCTGCTGAGCGGCCGAAACGGACCACCAGAGGGAGAGCAGGGGGGACAGCCAAGCAGACCAAGCTGGCGAAGTCCGTTTTGGAAGATTTGAACTGCTGAGCGGCCAAAACGGACCACCAGAGGAGCCAGCCAAGCAGATATACCGATTTTCTGACAAGATTTGCAGATGATTTCCTGTTTAGGGGACGTCTAGCTCAGTCGGCAGAGGGCAAGGCCCTTAACCTGAAGATCGAGGGTTCGAACCTGGCCATGCGCGTCCACCGGTTGTTGGGAAGGTCCGTCTTGAAGGATTTGGGCTGTTGAACGGCCAAAACGGACCTCCAGAGGGAGAGCAAGGAGCACAGCCAAGGAGATTAAGGTGGCGAGGACCGTTTTGGAGGATTTGGGCTGCTGAGGTCCGTTTTGGAGGATTTGGGCTGCTGAGCGGCCAAAACGGACAGGGAGAGCAAGGAGCACAGCCCAGCATAGCAAGCTGGCGAGGTCCGTTTTGAAGGATTCGGGCTGCTGAGCGGCCAAAACGGACCACCAGAGGGAGAGCAAGGAGCACGGCCAAGCAGACGAAGCTGGCGAGGTCCGTTTTGAAGGATTCAGGCTGCTGAGCGGCCAAAACGGACCACCAGAGAGACGGAGAGGAAGGAGCACAGCCAAGCAGACGAAGCTGGCGAGGTCCGTTTTGGAGGATTTGGGCTGCTGAGCGGCCAAAACGGACCACCAGAGGGAGAGCAAGGAGCACAGCCAAGCAGACGAGGCTGGCGAGGTCCGTTTTGGAGGATTTGGGCTGCTGAGCGGCCAAAACGGACCACCAGGGAGAGAAAGGGACAGAGACCCACCGCCAGCTCTCGTGTGATGAGGTTGCCGTGCCAGTGTGCGCACAGGAACATGGACGTTATCATCCCACCCCACCCCCACCCCACCCCCCTGTGCGCACAGGAACATGGACGTTATCATCCCACCCCACCCCACCCCTCCACCCCCCACCCCACCGCACCCCCACCCAGTGGGAGAGCTGGGTACGTCCGTTTTGAAGGATTCGGGCTGCTGAGCGGCCCGCCCCACCCCCCCCAAAAGGGACCACCAGAGGGAGAGCAAGGAGCACGGCCAAGCAGACGAAGCTGGCGGGGTCCGTTTTGGAGGATTTGGGCTGCTGAGCGGCCAAAACGGACCACCAGGGAGAGAAAGGGACAGAGACCCACCGCCAGCTCTCGTGTGATGAGGTTGCCGTGCCAGTGTGCGCACAGGAACATGGACGTTATCATCCCACCCCACCCCACCACCCCACCCCCCACCTGCAGATGAGGGGAAATGGTGTCGCAGATGAGGGTAAATCAGGGGGGTTTTGGTGTCACAGATGAGGGGGAAATGGTGTCACAGATGAGGGGCTTACCGCAGAAACCATAGCAGATAATATACCATAGTATAAATTGCGAATCAATCGTCCCTTCCCAAGAAAAGGATAGGAAAGGACCCTGGTGGTTCTAAATGGGCTGGGTAGCATTCGGTCAAAACTTCAGCACGACTGGGACTTGGTGGTTTCGCACAGGTGGAAATAGATGGAGGCGCAGAATCGACCTCAGCATTTTCAGAGGTTATCTATATATCTATTATATGTATATATATATATATATTTGGAAGTTTTTTTTGGTGAAACCATTTTTGACATTCGGATCCCGTGTTTTTCTTAAGGTACTCAGCACTTCGGCGACTTCAGTGGCACTTGGCCATGGAAGAATGAAATCATCGCCGCAGGAGCACTGATGGCCTATGGCGTCTCGGCATCTCGTAATGGTCCCGCAATGGTTGGTGTATCGCAATGTATCCATTATTGTCTTCTATATTAGTATCCACATTAATATCCGGAAATGTATTGTCTATGTATCCACAAACAGTAGTATTACTAGTTACTAGGATAATTCCTTGAATATTTGCGACACATTTCTGAAGTGTGGATCCAAAATTTCTTCTGGATCGCATGTCATGCGAGTACAGAGTGACTTGCTGCAAGTTTTGTCAACCTGGCAGGATCTTTTCATGCAATGCTTCAAAGCCGTTATCATGGGCTACTACATGTCAAAACATCAAACTTTGCTTCTCAATTTGTGGGTCAAGTGTTCCCACGGTAGCAACAGAGAAGAATTATGGATGATTACGTTCTATGGCGAATGACCATAATTCTTGGAGCAAATCCGCCATGTTGGACCCCCAAATCCGCTGCTCAATTCCCCAGGCTGGACATATTTTCGGATGGGCATATGCGCCTAAAATTATGGCTTAACGTTGACCACAATTTCTGGATGGGCAACCGGGGTTCAAAAACTGGCTAGCCTCTTGTGGGTTCTGCGGCCCCTTTTTATGGAGACATGGTTTCTTCATCGCCCTGGGAGGTTCCTTCGCCATGCACGGGAATCCTTCGTCAGGAAACTGGCATGAAGCAAGTGTCTTGGTGCTCTAATGCATCGCCTGAGACGGATGGCAACCGTCATGTTTGGCAAAAGTCCAGGAGATATCCGGATAGATGATCTTCACTTGTGTGATCCTTGAACTCACCAAGTCAACATGTGCTTCGTAATGCTTAGTGCCCTCCCCAGTAAGGTTCCTGCCTGACCAGGCTTGTATGTGTATGTATGTGTATATACATTACTGTACAAATTATTCTACATATATATATATATATGTATATACACACGTTTATATAGAATCATATATATATATATATATATGCAACCCCCAAGATCCAATGTAGCTACTCTTCCAGTGGTTTACACATCATTATGGTTCCTAAAGCCACAAAAACATTCAAAAAATGCAGAGAACGCCCAGGTGGTTCCATCCACAAAAATGTCAGCCGAGACTTGCCGTACGACACCTCGATGATGGATCGGGTCACTGGGCGGTATGTCGGAATGGATCAATGATGGGCTCTAGCCTTAAGGGCACCCTTTGACCTCCCAAAAAGATGCAGAAGTCTGATAGAGGTGAACGAGGTGATACATTGCTTTTCGATCTATTTTGCGGTTGCAAACATCCTGATAGACTTGGCAGGATCTAGATCACATCACGATCATCCTGCCATCGAAATCCTGATGGTTCAATACTATTAGCGACCTACATCTGCTGGTTTTGGGATCTTTGAAAAATCTTTAGATCTTGACCTACTGTATGCCCACAGAGGAGTGGAGAAAATTACACCGAAGAAACGGAAGGTAACACATTGATGCTGAGCCCTACAGCCTGATATATTTCATGGGGTAAAGTATGCAAGTACCCATGTTCCTGCTCTTTTTTTCGCCCTGGTGATGGAGGTGATTGGTGGATTGAACGGCCGAATCCGCCGATCTAAATGGGGAACGAAGCTACAGAATGTGGGGGTTCAGTCTCCAAGATGGATGTATTTGCATCGAAAAATGGTTTAAAGATGTTACAGTAGAAGTTTCAGGTACCAGTAGAACCCAAGTAGAACCCGAGGCCCGAAGAAATCAGCCAAAAAGGGGCAACTGGGCAGTGCTCACACCCATTCTTGATGTTTAAGTCATGTCAATTCCTATGTTTTTGATAGATCGAGTCATATATCTAAATTCTCATTGGAAACACATACTCTAACTTTTGATCCCAGAGACATCGCTATTTGCTGGTTTAACCTCACATTTTTCATGGTAAAATCAATTTTTGGGATGGTTAGTTTCCAATTCATTGATGCTTAGATTGGCCTAGATCTCATTTTTGTCGGTGATTGACTCCCCATTTGTTGATACTACCGAGCTACCATACGTCATTGTTCGGTATTGTTGGTTGTATATCCCATCAATAGTATAAAGGATCCACATTACTATTCTTAATAAAATTGTATATCCAAACAATCCCATTTATGATTGCCCTCCTGTAATCTACCATGGCTAGTTCGGTCATTTTCCCAGAAACCTTCATGGCTAGTGCAGGGATCTCAGCCATACCCAAAATGTTAGATTCATGTTTTCTTTCACATGATATCCCATTTATCCATATTTATCCCATATTTTGGGACTCTCCCATTGTTTCCCACAAAACCGTTCCGGATCAACTCCGGCGTTTGAAGTTCACTAGGTCTCCATGGACGTGCTGTTCTTCGTCTTCTTCCAGGCCATCGTAAGGGCGGTGGCGCGCGACCCCACGGACACCGAAGCGTTGAAACCGGTGCTGGGGCTCTTGAAGAGCGATGACTTAGCTCCTCTTGGAGCCTTGGGGAAGCCAAAAACGGGGTGCTGGGGAATGGGGAAAGGCACAGCAACATGCTCTGAATGTTGTTGGTTTCTTTGTGTTTGTTCCTTCGCTTCACTTTTCTTTGATCTTTTCCGGATTGCTGCTTTTAGCTTGGTTCTTCGAAGCCAACGGGATCATGAATCCAATGGATTCATGTTTTGGGATAGGTTACACCAACAGGTTGGGAAAAGGACATACTGAGAAGATGTGGACAAAACTCGGTGGAAGCATTGTGACAAGATGTCCAGTGGCCAGACTGTCAGTTGCTTCCCAGGGTCGCAACAAATCCGTGGGATCTGATGCAGCATCCCATGGGATTTTCACAAAAGGTGGGATTTCTGATTCACAAAAGTCTCCGAATATCAGAATGTCTGGATCTTCAGCATCAAATCTCAGGATGTGACAACATGTACTGCGATGCCCGCGATTCCATTCACCTGTATCAGAAGACCCTTGCAGGCGGGGGTCGAAGAATGTCGAAGAGCTGCAGGGAGCGGCTGTGGGACTTGTCCCTTTAAGAAATGGATAGAAATGGGGTCATTGTCCCATCTTTTTTTTGTGAAACAGTTCCCTGTGTTGGTCTCAATTTTTGAAACACACTGAGGTGGGATAAGCTACAATCATTTGCGCCCCCCCTTGCAGGTCCGACATCTGAATGGTATAAGATCGACGACATGCGATATGGAATTCCAAACTATGTGCCTTGAAGTGGTGCGAGGTGATCAGGATGGGCATGTTTCAAACGGAATGAGACGGGGTGTATCACACCATCAAACCTATTACTGCATCGCTTCCCATCTTTTGCAGGGATAGCAGTCCAGCTATATCAGCTGTATACTGGCACAGAATCTCAGGAATATCTAAAATATGGTTTGTCCAAAGAATGACACATCCCTTAAAAAACTATTCCAGGGTATCAACTATGGAATGTTTTTTTTGAATAATTTTCCTGGAATAATTTCTCCAAGGGGTAGATTACGATTATGCATGTTGGAACCTTGAAAATCTTGATCACCCCCCCTCAACATACCCTGGAATAATTAGGTCTTGAAATAATTTTCTATAACTTAAAACACCTTAAAACATCTCGAAGCAGCCTATACGTTCCTACACTTGGCCTGGCCCTTCCAAAAGCCATTCCTAGCTTGGCGGTGTTTGCCTGAAAGCTTTTTGCTGGAAATGCCAATTGCAGTTGTTTGAGGCATCATGCAGTTTGGGCAATTGCTGCCAACCTTTTTTTTGCAGCGTACTTGCAAGCACAACTATTCTCCAACGGACAACCTTTCTCTCACGGTACTTTCTCTCGAGAGTTCTTTGGATGGCAATGAAGGAATGTTAGGAAAATGCCTAGGAAAGGGCCAGGTTGAGTGCCATTCTGTGGGCTTTCCCCAGGGGAGAAGCTATTCTAGGGGTATTGGAGATGCCTGGCACCCCTCAAAACCAAAGTGGGCAGCTAACAAATTAGCCCAGAAACTGGCAAGAATTGCCAAAAAACAAATAAAACCCACACATTTCCCACTCATTCCCACTATGGCCAACGAGAGTTTTTTGGAAGGAAATGAAGGGAATATGGAAGAAATAGGGGAAGCGTATGCAAGGTTGGGAAAACCTTAAGGAGAGAGCCAGGTTGAGTGGCATTTTGTGGGCTTTCCCAGGGGAGAAGTTATTCTAGGGGTATTGGAGATGTCTGGCGCCCCTCAAAAACAAAAGTGGGCAGCTAATCACCAAACTAGCCCAGAAACTGGCAAGAATTGTCAAAAACCAATCTCCAAACATTTCCCACTCATTCCCACTATGGCCAACGATAGTTTTTTGGAAGGAAATGAAGGGAATATGGAAGAAATAGGGGGAACGTACACAAGGTTGAGAAAATCTCAAGGAGAGAGCCAGGTTGAGCGCTATTTTGCGGGCTTTCCAGGGGAAAAATTATTCTAGAGGTATTGGAGATGTCTGGCGCCCCTCAAAAACAAAAGTGGGCAGCTGCTACAATCACAAAACAAACCCAGAAATTGGCAAGAAAACAAGAAACCAGTGACAACCAAATATTTTCCTTTTCCCACTCATTCCCACTAGGGCCACAACCACCAAACTAGTCCAGAAACTTGAAAACATCCAAACCAATCAAAACCATGTTCAACCAGGGGGTTGCTGAGAGGGCATTTTTTTAAAGATATTGTTCTGATTCTTCTTGATCCTATCTGATTACGTTTAAATTTGTGCCCCAGCTCTGCAAGAAGGGAAACCTTTTTCGGCCGTTTGCGAACAGCTGCTTGCGATTACTTGCGTTTGGCTAGAAAAAAACTATAGGGGTATCATTTTTGATGGATATTATTCCAAATTATATATCTCAATGAGTTCTTGGAATATTTTTTTTGAAGTCAAGTTATGCCGGAATAATGTTTTATTATTCTGAGGTATGCTGACGGGGGTATACCCTTGAGGCATCCCTCATTCCAAAGATCAAAAGAAGGGGCACTTATCAGAAGATATTCTCATGAACTGCACCATTCTCAGACACCCAATCTGGTTGACATGAAGAAACCATCTCGAGCCCGCGATACGAAAACACAGCTTTGGGTGTTGATATGAGTTCCATTCTCCGCTTTGGTTTCCTTGGCAGGTTGATTTGTTATTTGCGTTGTACGGAGTCTACAGTACAAGGGTCTGATGGGGCAACCTCTAATCCACTGCTTCATCATGATTTTCGCCATACCAAAAACCAAAAACTGTAACTTGGCCCGTTGCCATTTTCAGGAGCCACATCCAAACATCCTATGGTTCATATTATATATATTATATTTTAATATATTATAATGAAACAAAATAAACCATAATATAATATAATACAATAAAATATAATATAATATATTATATTATATACCATACTATAATATAGTATAATATAATATAGCATAGTATAATATAATATAAAATAGTATAGTATAGTATAATATAATATAATATAGTATAATAAAGTATAATGTATAGTATATAATTTAAAATATAAATTAATAAATAATATAATATAATATAACATAATATATAATATATTATATTATATTAAAATATGATATAATATAATATGATAGATTATAATATAATAGATTATATTATAATAAAATAGATTATAATACAAATATAATATAATATAATTTAATAATATAATATAATATAAAATATATAATATCATAGAATATAGTATAATATAATTTAATAATATATAATAATATATTATAATATAATATAATATATAATGTATAATACTATATAATACAATATATAATATATAATAAAATAAAATCAAATAATATAATATAATATAATATAATATGATATAATATAATATAATACATTATAATATGATATAATATAATATAGTAATATATATATATTTTATACTTTCATATTCTTCCCTGCAGGAAATGCCACATGACATCCCCACGAATTTCTTCCGGCTTGAGGAATTGTCCTCAGTCGGTTTGGTCTTGGTGGCCATCCGCGCCATCATGAGCGACGATCTCTTTGGTTCCGCCGGTGCGGTCCGTTGATGGGCGGAATCCGGTGTTCATCACTTCATCGCTTCGTGTGCCGTTGGGAACTATTCGGAAGAATTCGGAAGATCTGTTTGGAAGTGTGAACTGTGTGAGCATAAGATGATTGAGATGATCCGTGAAAAGTGAAAATTCGATGAACATGAACATTTTGAGGTGTCAATTCCATTAAACAATCACAGCAACACTCAGCGCAGGCATGTCGGCCTACACAGGCGTTTGTAGCGCGCTGGTGTTAAGTCTGATGCCCAACAAAGACGAGGCGTGGAATGTTGATACACCGTTGTAATGGGGGTATAATCGGGATATAATGGGAAAATGGCATAACAACAAACTAAACATGACTCAGAATAACTGGTTTGAGTAGGTTTAGTAGAGTTCAGTGGGGTTTACCCTGCTAATGTTGGCTTCTTGAATGAAGCATAGAGGAATCAATGATTTTTTCCCCGTGGGTGTGATCAAAAAATTCTAAACAGGCTAATTAAACATGACCTTTATAGTCTGAACTAGCATTAAATCATTGAACCTCAGACTTGCCTAGATTCTTTTTTTGGCATGCTTGAAATAGGTACCCTCCGGTAATCAAACGTTGCAATGGGAAATACCATTTTTTTCCCATTAAAACTTCCATTTAAAGGGGATTTTTGATTGCCACGTTTGATTACCAGAGGTGAATTCGAAGCCAATTCTGGGCTTCCCTCGGTTAGAATTCCTCTGGAAGTTTTTTTTTTGGAGGGAAACTCGCCGTGCGCAGATGAACAAAACATGTTTTGACATCTGGGTTTTGCATATGGTTCAATGTTATATCCCGAATTCATCCGAATACAATGATACAAATTATTTATAGTATTCCAATCATTGTTACCAAATATTTGTATCATTGGATATTTATTGACTATTATACTATAATACAATATTGATACCCCAATAGTCAAATTATTCCAATAATTGCTTGGAAGCCGCTTCCAATCTCGCGGAGGCAGTCTGGGCGGAAGCCAACTATTGCAAGCCCGGCACGGACTGGTACAATTCCATGAAGGCCGGAGATCAACGGCGAATCATTTTGGATGTGGCGGAAACATGAAACATGGGGATTTCAAGCAACCAAAAAGGGATTTTGATCCACAGCAACATGTTTTTTTTCGTAGATTTTCAGCAACAATAAATAAGATCTGACATCTTAAGGCACCAAACAAAGCATGATATACTGAAATTCCTACCGCAAGCACGGGGATATTTCGGTGAAGATGGAAATTTAAGAAATCTTCCATCTCTGCGATGATCTCGCGAAGTCACTAGCCAAATTGCCCCAATTTAGGTCATTTTTTTTTGCGAATTTCAGTATCATTCATTCTGTGTATCCCATTGCATTTTTGGGGTGTGCAATTTGACTGAGTGTTCCCACAAATTGCAACTCATGACTCATGACAGTTGTGCTTATTTCCCCACAAAAAAGCACATATAGTGGTTGATTGGGAACCCGGGTATATTATAAAACATTATATGATTACATATGGAATACCAATCTGGCGATGGAAATCCAATCAGTCAGACTTGCTGTTGTTTGGAAGGATTTGAAGTGGCGTGTGGTGAAGGATATTGCTAAGAGCCTTGCCACCTTGGCAACGTGTCACAGAGAGCCGAGGGGGGGCTGGGAGCCTGATTGCGCTGCTTTCAGAGATATGTTACCCACTGGTAAACTAACAGTTTGCTATTGAACATGGCCATAGAAATAGTGGATTTACCCATTAAAAATGGTGATTTTCCATAGTTATGTTAGTTTACCAGAGGGTATATTATACTGTAACATATATTTAGACTCATGCATATAGAATATTTGCCTCCCAATTCTCAAGGGCGGATGGTGTTTAGTGATTCACATTTTTTCAGGTATATAACTGGGTCAACAACCAGCGTTCATCTGCGGTGACTGGGGCCGAGTAAACTCGGGGGTCAAATTCATAGAGGAAGCCGTAGCCAGTTTTTCAATCCCTCAGTAATCCCAATGGGTTGACTTTTTTGAGGCTCCACCTGTTTCCAGCCTCTTCTCCTATTTTTTCCCGAGAGCGTCTGAGCGCAGGGTTCTTCCAATAGTGGGGGTCTGTCTCTCATCTTCTCATCTTCACATCTTCACATCTTCTCATCTTCACATCTTCTCATCATCTTCACACATTCACATCCGCACATCTTCACATCTTCTCATCTTCACATCTTCTCATCTTCCCATCCTCACATCTTCACATCTTCTTTTCTTCACAGCTTCTCATCTTCACATTTTCTCATCATCTTCACACATTCACATCCTCACATCTTCACATCTTCTCATCTTCACATCTTCTCATCTTCACATCTTCTCATCTTCACATCTCATCTTCACATCTTCACATCTTCACATCTTCTCACCTTCACATCTGCTCATCTTCACATCTTCACATCTGCTCATCTTCACATCTTTTCATCCTCACATCTTCACATCTTCACATCCTCACATCTTCACATCTTCTCCTCTTGCCCTCTTGCCCTTGCCCTCTTGCCCTCACATCTTCACATCTTCTCCTCTTGCCCTCTTGCCCTCTCCTTCTTTTCTATTTCTCTTCTGAAGGCGGGGGCAGGGGCAGTGCCAACGAGACGGCACGAAACGCAACCCTTTCGCACGAAATGAGGTTCGATCGTCAAAAACTGAAGTAAAATTGCGATTTCAACTTGTCCGGCGCAACCCTTTCGCACGAAACGAGGTTCGATCGCCAAAAACTGAAGTAAAATTGCGATTTCATTTGTCCCCCGAACCCTTTCGCACGAAATCAGGTTCGATCGCCAAAAACTGAGGTAAAATTGCTATTGCAAAGTGTCCGGCGCAACCTTTTCGCACGAAATGAGGTTCCATCGCCAAAAACTGAAGTAAATTGCTACTTTCAAGGGGTCCCGCGCAACCCTTTCGCACGAAACGAGGTTCGATCGCCAAAAACTGAAGTAAAATTGCGATTTCACTTGTCCCGCGAAGCCTTTCGCACGAAATGAGGTTCGATCGTCAAAAACTGAGGTAAAATTGCGATTTCAAGTTGTCCCGCGCAACCCTTTCGCACGAAATGAGGTTCGATCGTCAAAAACTGAAGTAAAATTGCGATTTCAAGTTGCCCCGCGCAACCCTTTCGCACGAAACGAGGTTCGATCGCCAAAAACTGAAGTGAAATTTTCTCTTGTCCAATCGCGACCCTTTCACATGAGATGAGGTTCAATCGCCCAAAACTGAAGCAAATTGCGATTTCCTGTGTGTAAAAGCGTCTGTGTGTAAACGCGTCTGTGTGTAAAAGCGTCTGTGTGTAAAAGCGTCTGTGTGTAAAAGCGTCTGTGTAAAAGTGTTCGTGTGTAAAAGCGTCTGTGTGTAAAAGCTTTTGTGCGCAAAAGTGTGTGTGTGTGTCAACGTGTTTGTGTGTAAAAGCGTCTGTGATCGTCTGTGTGTAAAAGCGTCTGTGTGTAAAAGCGTCTGTGTGTAAAAGCGTCTGTGTGTAAAAGTGTTTGTGTGTAAAAGCGTCTGTGTGTAAAAAACGTCTGTGTGTAAAAGCGTCTGTGTGTAAAAGCGTCTGTGTGTAAAAGCGTCTGTGTGTAAAAGTGTTAGTGTGTAAAAGCGTCTGTGTGTAAAAGCTTTTGTGTGCAAAAATGTGTGTGTGTGTCAAAGTGTTTGTGTGTAAAAGCGTCTGTGTGTAAAAGCGTCTGTGTGTAAAAGCGTCTGTGTGTAAAAGCGCCTGTGTGTAAAAGCGTCTGTGTGTAAAAGCTTCTTTGTGCAAAAGCGTCTGTGTGTAAAAGCTTTTTTGTGTAAAAGGGTCTGTGTGTAAAAGGGTCTGTGTGTAAAAGCTTCTGTGTGTAAAAGCGTCTGCGTGTAAAAGCGTCTGTGTGTAAAAGCGTCTGTGTGTAAAAGTGTCTGTGTGTAAAAGCGTCTATGTGTAAAAGCTTCTGTGTGTAAAAGCTTCTGTGTCTAAAAGCGTCTGCGTGTAAACGCTTCTGTGTGTAAAAGCTCCTGTGTGTAAAAGGGTCTGGGTGTAAAAGCTTCTGTGTGTAAATGCATCTGTGTGTAAAAGTGTCTGTGTGTAAACGCTTCTGTGTAAAAGCGTCTGTGTGTAAAAGCTTCTGTCTGTAAAAGCTTCTGTGGGTAAAAGCTTTGTATGTAAAAGCGTCTGTGTAAAAGCAACAGTGTGTAAAAGCGTCTCTGTGTAAAATTGTCTGTATGTAAAAGCGCCTGTGTGTAAAAGTGTCTGTGTGTAAAAGTGCCTTGTGTGTAAAAGCGTCTGTGTGTAAAAGCTTCTCTGTGTAAGGGGTTCTCTGTGTAAAAGCTTGCTCTGTGTAAAAGCTTCTGTGTGTAAAAGTGTTTGCAATGCAAACTATTGTCTTGTACTTGTGCTATATTGTCTTGCTACTCCTCTTCTCGATTGCCTATAACACATCTTTAATATATTGTTTTGTAATATGGTGTCTCCATACTAACAAGAGAAGACCCTGCTCCTCTACGCTCTCGGGCCATCCGTCGTCTAGTTTTCCCGGAGATGTGGCTTGATGACTTTCAGGTAACCATTCTCGAGTCGCTGATCGAAGGCATGTTCTGGCAGGAGACCTTGGTGGGTCCTACGGGGTACCTGGATCCCTACCTGAAAGGCGTGGTGAACGTGAGCGCCTGCTGGCGTCAGACCCATGGCAACTGGCACCGTGTAGCAGCGCAGATGATGAAGGAACTCATGGAGTTCATCACCACTGTGCTTTGGTGAAGCCGTCAAGCCGTTAAGCGTTTTTGTGGAGATGGGGATGATTCGGGATGGTCAAACTGGGCATCCTGACCAGCGCTGGTGCGCAGACCCCAAGAGTTTTAGATTTAGGATGGATTTAGATGGTAGGATGGGGTGGAATTTTGGGACTTTTGACTTTTGGGGCGGTTTTTTCTTGGAAGATCGCACACGGAATGGCCTTCGAAGAGAGTCTTTTTCAGTCAGAGTTGGAAATAGCCAACATGTGGGGGATGAGAGATTTTGAGAGTATATTTTAATTGGTGGCGATGGATCTGGAAAGAATCGACAGATCACCAACCAAAACACGTTTCACATAGACCAGTAGAACTTCATTGCCAGAAATGCTATCCCCCTATCCAGGCCAAAGTGGTCGCCGGCGCCCCGTTCAGACGGTTGTCAGCCATGTAGCTAGTTGGACATCACAGGGTCATATTAGCCTGATGTCAGAGAACCTTTGCATGTCTTTCCCTCGCGTTTTCGTTATTTCATGTCAAAGTGCCCACATCGATTTCATACAGATACTCGAACCTCCAAAGATACAATGCTCCCTTCTGGGGAAGCTGCTGCCGTCTGCCCGGCCTTAAACCCCTTAAACCCTCCAAACCCTCCGCAGGGCCCCAGGCAAGCCTTACGTCCAGCAGCAGCCAGGGCCACAGCCCCTGCAATTCAACAAATTCCAGCCGCAGCCAGGACACGCCAGTCCGACTGTTTTTAAGGGCGTTCAAGGCTGCCGTTTGCCCGGCCTTAAACCCCTTAAACCCTCCAAACCCTCCGCAGGGCCTTCCAGGCAAGCCTTACGTCCACATGTTCCCGCACCGGCCCAGGATGTCTACACAACCTCCGTGACGCAAATCTCCGAGGCAGGCCGTGGGCCCCCAGATAACCCTGATGCCCCCCCTGATGGCCCCGTGAAGCCAGGCGCAAAAGCAGCAGGCTTGGTCCAGCCTCAATCTGGTGGTGGCCGAGTTTAAGATCTTTGTGAATGCCCTAAAAACCATGAAAGCGGCCAATGAGGCACGATTGGGGACCTCAGGGCCTTCCAGCCTTCCAAGTTATGGTCTTGGCTCAGGAGGGGTCACAGTAGACCTGGGATCAGTGAGGTGGTCTTTGGCCGCCAAATTTCAAGTGGTTCTTTTAGTCATATGAGTAACCGACAAAATTAGTGGAAGACTAAAGTAGTAGGGAGTGGACTTGGGATGTTCACATTTGTGTGAAAACCTTGACAACCAATAGGGGACCATCCACTTACTGATAACCTATTTTCACACATAGCATGGAAGTACAAACGTTCACAACCGATAGGGGACCACCCACTTTGGCCATGTCCATTGCGAGTAAGTAATTTTGTCCCCCCATATGAACATGATCACGCCCTAAACATCTGTAAGATCTGTAAGATCTGTAAGCCCTTGGGCATTGGGCACCCTGTTCCCGGGAAATGCAGGTGAATCTGTGCCGGGTGTTCAAGCTGGCCAAGGAGGTTGCCGCGTCAGGAAAACCCTTGAACTACACGGTCCTGCCCATGATGGATGCTGATGGTGCGCGGTTTCGGGTCAGTTTTTGGCTGGTTTTGTGCATTTTTTTCGGCGGAATGTGCAAAGAGCCAGTCTGATCTGCCAGTTCCAATTGAGAGATAGCTCTAATTCTAACAGGTACAGGGCTAGCCACTGATGAACTTATTTTTTTGAAACTTCCAGCAACCAAAAAGAACCGTGAGAATTGCACCCAGACTGGGTTGCAGAGCCAACATGCATAGGAGCCAACTGGGTGACAGCTGGATCTCCTTCACTTCCTCATAAATTGCATGGCTCCAAGTTCGAGCCCAAAATTTGGATGCTATATATAGAAACCTCCAAGTATTGCCACTTCGATGGGCCCCCAAGTTTGGCTCAGATGGCTCAGCCATATCCATATTAGTAATACTGTATAATATAATATAGTACAATATAACATAATACAATATAATACAATATAATATAATATAATATAGTATAATATAGTATAGTATAATATAATATAATATAATATTTCATGTAATATAATATAATATAATATAATACAATACAATATAATACAATACAATACAATACAATATAATATAAAATAATATTATATAATATATAGTTATATATTATATATATTACTTCCATCCTTGATCATATCCCGAATTTGACTATCCCCATTCTTGTTGGCGCGGCTATATCCCCATATTTCGGTGCCAATGAATGATATGCATGCACCAGTCATTTGATATCAGTTCTTTCCCCCATTTTATCCCATTCTATCCCGTGCTACCTGGTGGTGAACCGAGGGAACGGTTAGGAGCTGTGGCTGTATCCATCCTCCCCGTAGCCAAATGGGGAGCCAAGGAGCTACTTCCCAGATGGTGATTATTTGATTATCCCCTTAATTCCCTATTTATCCTTATACAATTTCCCCCAGAAATAGATGCGTTTCCACCATTTTTTGATGATTTACCACCATTCACCGCACATTTTCAAGTAAGATTATTGGCAACTCCCACCACTCGCCATTTTCACGGCGGAGGCATCAATTGGTTGATGGCCAAAGAGATGACAGCACGGGACCGACATTTCAAATAAAGGGGACCTGCAGGCGGACGAAGATGAACGATGCAGCTGGCTGATACCAGCAACAATTGACAATATACACATATACAGTTGAAATATATCGACCCCTCAGCCCCACTATGTATAGCATAGGTAGTAGGTCCAGTGTAGACATGCCGTAGCTATGATTCCAATACAACCGAAGTAGATATACCCGAATGTACATACAATATGCACCACATGCATAGAAGCGTTATACATGTAGAGTAGCCATAGTGAGAAGTAGATGTAGCCCTCACCTAACAATAACCTGGTAAGGGTTACATGCTGTGGACACATGGCTCAAGTGCCCCGAGCAAAAAGGGGCATTTGTTTGTTGATGCGGAGTGTTGGTGAATTGGGTTCACTTTTGGGGTTCCTGGTTCGTCCCTCCGTTTGTCTGGATATCAGCCGTAAGGCTTGTATCTTATTTTAGGGAACCTAATTCACCAACACTTGACTTAGGCCCTAACTGACCTTAGGCCCTAACTGACTTTTCGCACTTTCGCTGTCACTCGTGCATGCCCTCAGAAGGATCCGATCAGGTCGCCGACGAGCTCGTCGCGACAACTGAAACTCCAGCAGGCGGAACCGAGGCTTCCGTGACTGCAGAAGACGTTGAGCAGCCAGCTCCGTTGACTGTGGGATCGGTCGCTGAGGTCTCTGCTTCCTGGGCGGATCTGTCTGAGGTATCTGGTACGCCCGAGCCTTCTGAAACTGCCGCAACTGCTGAACTCATTCCCGTCAAGGAGGAGGAGCAGGAGCTTCAAGACGCACAATCTTTAGGCGCAGTCCTTTCAGTGATTGGTGTGCCGGAGGTGGTCGCTGACGAGCCCGTTGTGACAGGTGGTGAGGTCGAGCAGCCGAATCCTGATCAGTCATTTTTGGAGGAACAACTTCACTTGGAAAATCCAGCCGAAGCTGCCTTCACGGAAATTGATCGCGCAAAGGAAGAGGACGCTCATCAAGATTAACCATCGTCACCTTCTGAGCAAAATGATTGCGAAGTTGAAGCAACAAATCTTCTCGAATTAGATGCTCTGAAGTTGCAGGCGAGGTCACAAGAGGTTCCAGAGGCAGAGACCGAAGGTCTAACTGCCGATACATCCGAAGCAGCCGTTGCATCCGAGCCTGTGGTCGCTGACACTTCTTGTGTCGCGACAGAAGCCACTGTAGCTGATTCCTCTGAATTAGTTCCACCCCCAACTAGTCCCAATCTTGTTAGTCCCGGCACTGCACCTATTCAAGTAGGTCATTCCCCATCTGCCCCATCTAGAGCTCCACGCGCAAGGGTGAGAAGTAGTAGGGGAGGTGCCACCATACGCTGGCAAGAAGCTCGGAGAGAGTGGTGGTCTAATTACGAGGCATTCCAATACTGGCCTTATAACAAGTCAGGAGGGGAAATAAGCCGCGGTTTATGGCTCCCCAAGATTTCCTACGAAACGGCAACATCTGACCAAAGGTGGCTAATTTGCCTGCACAATAGGATTATTGAGGAACTCTCCACTTCGAATTTTCTAGCCCTAGCATTTTATATCTTTGAAGCCTACAACGACTTGGTCCCTTCAGCACGGATTAGATAGGCGTAGGGGCGTTGCTCACGGTCGTCAAGTTATTGAATCGGGTGACCTACCGCCAAAGCGTATCATCAATCAGCGAGTTCTTGGAGTTGATAATCCTCGATAAGAAGATTGGGTGATAGATACTATAGGTACGTAGGCCCCCAACAACAGCCTAGACCGAAAAGCAAGGCCGCTGCCACAGCATCCGCTAGTGGCGCGGCAGGCTCCGCAGGGGTAGTTGCCAAAGCTCCAGAACCAGTTGCAAAGGAGCCACAGCAGCCGAGTCATCCGCCACCAAGTTGGCAGCCGTCATTGCGTGGTGCTGATCACCCTGTACAGCCCGCCTCAACAGCCAAGGCAAGTGGACCAAAGGTCACATCATCGGTAGTTTCCGTCCCAAAGGCGGCGAAGTCAGCTTCTGAAGGGGTCGCAGCCTCCGGGCGCGACGTAGCACCAGTTCCAGTTGAAGTAGTCCAGCTAAGCCCCCAGCTAAAGCTAGGCCGAAAGCCCCTGAATCGTCAGCTTGTGCTGACCCTTCATTTAGACGTCTTCATTTGCCACCACCACCAACTAGCCCACCACCTGACGTTCCATCTTCTAGTCTAAACGTATTGCTGGTGCCAAACCACCACCATTGCCACCGCCTAGCTACCCACCACCATCAATTCCACCACCACCTTGGGGGGCCACCACCATCTGCTGAGGAGCTCGCTGCCTGCGAACCTCAACAGCCTGTGGTGCGAGAGACAGGCCCAGAAGACCCCAACGGTCCTGAACCTGAAGGTGAGTGGGAGTGGGTAGAGGAGGAGGAAGAGGAAGAACCCAGGGAGGAGGACGTAGTGGTTGAGGTAGAGCAGGAGGTTCCCTGACTTTGCTCGACGTGGCCGTGAACCCACTGCACGTCATCGTAGGCCAAAAAGAAATAGATCGGATCCCCCAATTCCAGTCAACTTGGTCCCAAGGGCAACTCGTGAACGCATAGAGCTTAATCAAGAACTTTTTAGAGCCCGAGCCGCTACTGGTGTTTCTAGAAGACCTCTTGCTTTAAGGCCACAAGTTCAAGGTTACCGTGGAATAAGAATCGATCCGGCTGGTACCTGGGCAAGGGTCGCTGATCCTCCGATCGCGTACGCCCCACATACACTGCCTTACATTGTTCCTAGAGGTGAAGGTCAGTACGCCCAGTTTGAAGCCGACCCGCATCATGTTCCAGATAGTGTGTGGCGCGACCCAAGCTTAAGGGCACATAGGACAGTTCTTGGCACAGGTAATCTCGACCCCACCGACGTCGTGAATTTGGCCGTGGACAATCCTTCTACTGAGTCTGAGGGGTCTGAGGCTCCAGAAGCAGCCGTTGATAGATTCACTGCCGCTGGACATTCCCTTCTTAACCAGCTTGAACCAATAGAGCCAAAATTGTTGAGCGCACTCCAACTAGGCCAAGAGATCCACCACCAAAGAGGCCACGCGTCAGTATCCGGATTTCTCAAGTTACTAGGGAGATCCCCAAAGCTAAGGCAAAGGCTGAAGCTGCTGCTGCACCAGCATCCTCAGTATCCGTTCCATCTCTCAGTGCGCCATCTCTTAGAGGTAGTGTTCCTCCGTGGCGTGCACAAGGCAGCCAAGCCGCCAGTGTACAACCACCACAGCCGAACCAGGAGCCAGCTGAGGTCGCTGATCAACAGCCTGTTGTCGCGACAAGCCCAACTGCAGAGACTGCCACAAGCCCAGCCTCAAGATTGCGAACAGGAGCACCTTCGGCAAGGCAAATTCAGCACCAGCCATCGCTGCGTCAAGACCATCAAGGGGTGGGGGAAGCCACCATCTCTAATAAGATCACCCCAAAAGGGCTAGGAGCACAGAGGGGGCTGCTGTCCCCGACACGCCCCAGCCTTTACCACCACAGCCATCAGCAAGGGCGAAGTCCACTGTACCCTATAAAGCTCCCCCAATTAGGCACCCTAAACCTGATAGACCGGCCCCATCACCATCTGATAAACCATTCAAAGCTCCTCCGATGGGAATTGAAAAGGTTAAAGATGTTAAAAGGCCAGGTGCCGGCTCTAGTCCAGGTCCACCACCGCTGGACGATGCTGATAGAGTGAGGCAGGAAGCCCAAAGGGTTGCAACTGCTGCTGCAGAAGCCCCGCCAAGATCATCAGGTGAAAGTTCAGGTTCTGGGCTTGCACCTCACGTTCGTGGCAAACCACTTCCACAACCCTCACCTGATTCTGCCGAAGGGTCTGCTGGGCGCTGCCCCCGACACCACGGTCCACCGCTAGAACAACCTAGACTGGTTTGTCAAGTAGCCCACGTTGATACTTCTAATATCATCGTTTGCATCGATTGGCACGATACTTTGGACCAGGCTTTGAATCCAGTAGGATACGTCGATTCCCGAATAGTAGAAAAGTTCAGGAACTTGGTTAGGCTAGCAGAAAACCGCATTGAGTTTCACATAGTATCCTACGCTGGTTGGTCAAAATTAGAAAGCACTAAGGCTGCCGCCCGCCATCTGATTGACTTTCTAGTTCAAAACGGGCTCCCCTTCAGAGAAATCCATGTCGCTAGACACCCGTGTGGTCGCGAAGGAAAGTCTTCCATTCTAGCTGCCTTGCAAGCGCACTGTTTGGTCGACGACTGTCAGGACATCCTTAACGAGAATTACCTGACAGGTGTCAAGGTGGTTAAATCTGAAGGTCGTTGGGATCGCGATCTCAGTTGGATTGCTCTTTTAGACGATTGGATCCGCCAAGAAGGCATTGATTGCATCTTGCAGCGGCGCAGGCCTCAACCTCTCAAGCCCAATCAATTTTACCCACCCCACGGAGAGCCGCCTAAAGATGAAGTTCTAAAGCAGCAAACCACTAGCCCTGAGCACTTGCGTACCCATTTCCCAAAAATCCCTATTGTCCTTTGTGCCACATAGCAAAAGATACCGCCATGAGGGTTTCACATGTCAAAGATGGCAAAGCCGATGATTTTGTTGATCCCCCAAAGCAGCCGCTGGAGCAGCTTGCCACAGATGATATCTTAGCTAAAGGGTCTGAACACATGGGAGTAGGAATAGGGGAATTAGGTCGCATCATGTTATCCGCGAGACATACTCTGGAGCGCGTGTAGCATACCCACTGTCCAAACGTACTGCTGACGCGCATGCTCGCAACTTTGGGGATTTCTTAGGACTGCGTGGATCAGAGCTTACAACCCGGACGTTCATTAAAATGGACGAAGCCGGCGAGCTTGAGTAGGCGGCACATGCCGTAGGGATGGTTCCGGAACCCCCCCTGCCGAACCGTTGGCCCCACAATGCCAGTCTCGAGAGAGACGTCAGAGAGGAGAAAGAATGTTGTCGTACTGTTCACCTCCAGTCTGGTCTTCCCTACGAGTACCACACATATAGCTATCCATATGCCTGCCTTTCAATGTCATTTGATCATTTGACAGACCTTCAATAGCTGATCCCGACAAAACCCAATGGGAATCGCTTACTAGGAATAAGTTTGATGGCATGAGGTTGTGTTTTGGTCAGTTAGTGTATTATCGTAGGAAGTCAGTCACCAAAAGGACTCTGGAACCCAACATGTCACCTGGTCTCTTTTTGGGTTGGAGGATAGATCCTGGTTTAGATATAGAAATGTCTTAAGGGTGCTAGATTACCAAGAGTATCGCGCTGGAGGTGGGAATTCAGCCGTTGATGTTCCAGAAGCAGAAATCTTTGTCCCTGAAGGTGATCCTGTTTTACCAGTAGGTTTTTCACGCCACCAAGCTCTCATCAGGGGGGATAACCCAGATGATCTTAAGTTGCCTGAATATGCCTTAAAGGATGTGCCCTTCCCCAAGGAGGGCGGAATAGCCTCACCCTCAACACCAGGTCTCAAAAGTCGTTCTGTTTACATAACTGTAGATCGCATCCTTAAGTGGAAGGGGACACCTGGTTGCAAAGGCTGCACTGGCCATTCGCGTGCGCACACTGATGAGTGCAGAGCCCGCTTCTCAATGTTGGTAGAAAAAGGAAAAGAAGCTGAAAGGGAAAAGAAAGCTCCACTAGTAAGTGAAACTGAAGCAGAAGAACTCGATGACTCAGTTCCTCCACACCTCTCCCCAGAGGATAAAGAATTGTTTAAGTCAATCTTTTTAGGTGGAGAGGCTCCAGCGCCATCTGAACCCAGCGCTCCTGCTGAGCCTGCTGCTATTGTTTCTGGTGTAGCTATTCTTCCCCAAGCTGCCCATAGATGTTCCGACCTATGTGAAAAGTCGCTGCCTGTTTTTGGTTGCCCCGCCGTAGGTAAGCCAACTAACCGCGATAATCGTAGGAGTCGGAAGGCTGCCAAGAAAGCCTCCAAACCCAATGCCAAGTCAACCATGTTTGAGTTTGCTTGCTCTGAGGATTCCCAGATGGGTTTTACTCATGATGAATATAGTATCAATCATGTTAGACTTTGTAAGGATAGGATAGACCTGGGAGATGAGTTGCAGTGCGAACAGCTAGATTGTCAGATCGATGAAGCTGCTGAAGCCGCACCCCCACATTTGTGGGCCTCTATCCCTTGCACATCCGGTTCCCCTTGGCAGTTCATCAATAGGAAGAAGGGTGGTGCCGCGTTCATTAGGAAATTGGCGCGCCAAGTCAAGGAGTCAAAACGGTTGTTTTCTAGTTTCGCAAAGCGAGCTGAGCGTGTCCTCAATCATAATGGTACTGTAACTTTTGAATGGCCAAGACCTTGTAGTGGATGGAAAAGGCTTGACGTTATAGCATTTTTTGAGAAACACCCACAGTTTATGCGTGTAGATTTCGAGGGATGCGCGGTAGGTCTCACCACTAGAGATGGCCTTCCTTTGACAAAGCCGTGGCGGCTCATGACCACATCCCAACGCATCAAAGATGCCTTCCAGGATATTCGATGCAAGTGCCAGCAAACTCACGCTAGATGTGAGGGAGCTGAGACTACTCGCTCCGCAATGTATCCACCCCAAATGACTGATTTAATAGCGAAGGCTTTGTTTCCCTCAAAATGTGCCCAGCAGTCTGTACCTGCTATGCCTTGCCGACCAGCCTCTAGCGATCCTCAACCCCATAGGGAAGTTGAACAACACCTTAAGCATGTATCCCCATTAGCCGGTTTCGAAGATTTAGCTAGAGCAGTTGAGTCCGATCCTACCGCTAATAGGTTAGTGACTGAACTTCTTGAGCATGAGCACTTGATAGCCCAAGCCCTCCAGTTGGAGGATCCTAAGGCACCAACTCCCGAAATCAAAGCTATGGTCACAAAGCTCTTGTCCAGGTCTGAGATGTTGTCAAACCCTAAGGCGCTTGAAGCAATTCGCGCTGAAGCAGATGGCTTAGTCAAAGCAGGCACGTGGGATCTTAGTTCCGTCCGCGAAATAGAAGACGTGCGGAAGGAGGCGAAGGCTTCCGGTGTGTCAGTACACTTTGGTCAGTTGATGACCATTGCATCAATCAAATTTTATGAGCTCGCTGACCACCTTCACAAGATGAAGGGCCGCATAGTCTATAGAAGGGACTGCGCAAAAGACGAGCACGGTGCAGCGGCCGTCTACCAGGAACTCGGCGCTAATCCTACCTCCGTCCAAGGGCTCAATGCTTGCCTAGCCTATGGGTCGCTGCCGGGTAACCGCGCGACGGCTGCAGATGCAGTGAAGGCTTACGTCCAAGCCCTGCTATCCTCCAAATACAAAACTTGGATCGAGCTTCCCCCGGAGCTTCGCCCTAAGTATTAGAAGCAGCAGTTTGTAAAGCCCGTAGTCCTCCTCATTAAAGCTTTGTATGGTCATCCCGGTGCTGGAGGGTTGTGGGAGCAACATTTAAAAGTCATCATCAAGAACCTTGGAGGGCAAGAGGTCCCAGAATACCCAGGAAATTTTTACTTCCCAGATACTAAGTTACTTCTGTCAACTTATGTAGACGATTTAACTCTAGCTGGCCCCGCCGACCAGCATGATGCATTCTGGAGCAATTTGACTTCTGTGGTAGACATCGAACCACCAGAGCCCATCTATAGGATTCTTGGACGTAACCATGTTGTTACCCCACTTCCCAAAACCGAAGGCCATGAAAAGTGTGCAGCCTTTCAATCCCAAACAGGCAACGCCCAACAGACCGTACTATATAAGCCAATTACTCGTATATCAGATTTGAAGCATGCAGCTACGCCATTTCCACCTGAGGGATCCATGAGGATGAGGAAGCCAAAGGGGAACTAGCTCCAAATGCGTGTAAAATCTTGATGAAAGCCCTGTGGTTAGGTAGGCTTGCACGTCCCGACATAGTCAAACCCATCAATGATCTGGCCACCAAAGTCCAGTCGTGGTCTAGAGGTGACGATAAGAGAGTTCTAAGACTAATCCAGTATATAGCTTCAACCCCACACTATATAGGTTAGTAGGGACTATTCAGGACAAACCTGAAGATCTCGAGCTGAGACTTTTCGTCGATGCCGATTTCGCCGGTGATAGATCCACTGCCCGCTCAACCTCTGGTGGCTCTTTAGCTTTAACTGGCCCTAGTTCCTTCTTTCCGCTTGCATGGATTAGTAAGCGACAAACGTCCACTTCTAGATCGACCACGGAAAGCGAAGTAATAAGTCTAGCTTACTTGCTTTATCAGGAGGGTTTGCCTGCCTTGCAGTTATGGGAGCTGTTGCTTGCACGCTCCGTAACACTCCGTGTCCATGAAGACAATCAAGCAACAATTTTGGTTGTAGAGAAAGGTTATAGTCCCAAACTTAGACATATAACTCGAACACGCAAAGTAAGCCTGTCTTGCCTGTCTGAAATCTTCAAAGAAGACTCGGCTCTGATAAAATACATCAACACAGACGACCAGGCGGCAGACATCTTTACTAAGGCATTGCCTCCACACAAATGGGCAGTAGCACTGATCCTTTTAGGAATACGTACTGACCTTCCCTTAGACCTTAGTGCCAAAGCCTAGGTCGCTGCGGACCCCTGTTCGCGCGACAGTAGTTGCTTAGGCGACTGCCAATGCGCAGTGCGTGTGGAACAGGCGAGGGGGGAGTTGAAATATACCGACCCCTGAGCCCCACTATGTATAGCATAGGTAGTAGGTCCAGTGTAGACATGCCGTAGCTATGGTTCCAATACACGCGAAGTAGATATACCCGAATGTACATACAATATGCACCACATGTATAGAAGCGTTATACATGTAGAGTAGCCATAGTGAGGAGTAGATGTAGCCCTCACCTAACAATAACTTAGTAAGGGTTACGTGCTGTGGACACATGGCTCAAGTGCCCCTGTTTGTTGATGCGGAGTGTTGGTGAATTGGGTTCACTTTTGGGGTTCCTGGTTCGTCCCTCCGTTTGTCTTATACATGTAACATGTGTAAAAGTATATATATATATATAGATACAATACATACACACATACATACACACATACATACACACATACACACATACACACATTACATTACATTACATACCATACCATACCATACCATACCATACCATACCTACCTACCTACATACATACATACATATACACATAAATACATACATACGTACGTACGTACAAACATACATACATACATACATACATACATAAGAACATACGAACATACGAACATACGAACATACGAACATACGAACATACGAACATACCAACATACGAACATACAAACATACGAACATACGAACATACGAACATACAAACATACGAACATACGAACATACGAACATACGTACATACGTACATACATACGTACATACATACATACATACATACATACACACATACATACACACACATACATTACATTACATTACATTGCATTGCATTGCATTGCATTGCATTCCATACCATACCATACCATACCATACATACATACATACGAACATACGAACATACGAACATACGAACATACGAACATACGAACATACGAACATACGAACATACGAACATACGAACATACGAACATACGAACATACGAACATACGAACATACGAACATACGAACATACGAACATACGAACATACATACATACATACATACATACATACATACATACATACACACACACATAAACACATACACGCATACACACACATACACATAAACATACACATACACCTCCACATACACATACACGTACACATACACCTCCACATACACATACACGTACACATACATATACGTATACATATACACATGTACATATGTATAGTATCAATGATGTAATTAGCTGATACCATCAACAATATATTTTATATGACCCAACAAAATGGGAAGCAACGAGAATGGAAAAATGCGTGACGCCTGCAGGATCCCATCCTTAACCTCGACTTGAACATCAATGAGGCGGTCAAGGATCCAACCGGAGGTTGCAACTACAATTTGGCCACTCGGCACGGCGCAGGGCACGGCAGGGCCGTCTTATCATCGAAATTCCAAGACGAAAACAGGACGTATTTGGAGCTCCAGGTATCCCTCAAACCTTTGGGTAGGTAGATGACCTTCTTTCAGTGTGTTGAACTTTGACCATTTATTAATATGGAAAGACAGTCGTGGCACATGGGTTGGTGTTGAAGCCAAGCCCCAGCATCGAATTTGTCAAAAGGTTTGAATCAAACAGGATGAGAATTGGGTAAATCTTCAGCAAAGCATTTCCCATGCCCAAATGACCAAAGAAAAAAGATGAAAGGTGAAGCGTCCATCGTTTGCATTCCTTGTCCAGGTCCCCCCCAATTAAGGCAAGCACTGTCTTGATGCAGCTTCATGGTTTTTAGAAATTGATGCTGTATCCCAGCATGTAAGCAGAGTGAGTTAGTAAATACTCATTTTTTTGATGTTTTGTGTCCTATTCTCCTAGTCTTTAGCTATGTCTGGGGTATTTCACCATCTTTATGATTGTCCATGGATATGCTTTCCATATTTTTTTCCGTGCTCGAAGCTCCTTTGTTTGGTGCCCCACCAAGCTCCCAACATCTGCCAGGAGAACGCCGTCATCGACGAGATCAGTGGATTTTCCAAGTGGAAGATGGAAGATGTGGCAGTGCAAGGTGCCAATCCGGCAGTTGAAAAAATACCAAAAATAAGGGCTGTGGCTGGGAGGACATGTTTTTGTGGTACTCTATTTTTACGGGGAATTTTTTTCCCCTTCCCCGGGGATTTTTTTTCCCGGCTAAGTTCTCGCAGACTGGTGTGGCAGGGAAGCAAGCCAGCAAGCGAGCAAGCAAGCAAGCAAGCAAGCAAAGAAGGGAGCCAGTGAGCAAGCAAGCAAGCAAGCCAGCCAGCAAGCCAGCCAGCCAGCAAGCCAGCACGCAAGCAAGCAAGGGAGCCAGCGAGCAAACCAAGCAAGCAAGCAAGCAAGCAAGCCAGCCAGCCAGCCAGCAAGCAAGCAAGCAAGCAAGCAAGGGAGCAAGCAAGGGAGCAAGCAAGAAGCAAGCAAGCAAGCAAGCAAGCAAGCAAGCAAGCAAGCAAGCAAGCAAGGGAGCAAGGGAGCAAGCAAGCAAGCAAGCAAGCAAGCAAGCAAGCAAGCAAGCAAGCAAGGGAGCAAGCAAGGGAGCAAGCAAGCAAGCAAGCAAGCGAGCGAGCGAGCGAGCGAGCGAGCGAGCGAGCGAGCAAGCAAGCAAGCGAGCAAGGGAGCAAGCAAGGGAGCAAGGGAGCAAGCAAGCAAGCAAGGGAGCAAGCAAGCAAGCAAGGGAGCAAGCAAGCAAGCAAGGGAGCAAGCAAGCAAGCAAGGGAGCAAGCAAGCAAGCAAGGGAGCAAGCAAGCAAGCAAGGGAGCAAGCAAGCAAGCAAGGGAGCAAGCAAGGGAACCAGCGAGCAAACAACCTTTCTTCGAGGAATTTCTTTCCGAACCGAGGTTGTAACTAGTTATTGGCTTCATACACCCATATCTATTTGTACTTAAGCATTATATTTGCTAGCATTGATGGAGAGAAAGAAGGGGATATTGTAGGTGTCGAAGCTACTAGTAAGTGGGATGAAAGTCTAAGTATGTTTGAAGATTCTTTTGGAACTCTCCCAAGCGGCTGATAGGCGATAGTCATGATGAAGACCTAGCCGCGGGCCCCAGTCAGTGGACACTGCTAGACCTTAACCGCGGGCCCCAGATCTCAGTGGGCACTGCCGGACCTCAACCACGAGCTCCACATGTTAGTGGGCACTGCCGGACCTCAACCGCGGGCGTCAAATTTCAGTGGGCACTGCCGCACCTCAACCGCGGGCGCCAGATCTCAGTGGGCACTGCCGGACCTCAGCTAGACGCCAGAGATAATGTCAGATAGAATGCCAGAAAGAATGTCCGAATAGATGCCAAGAATCCACCAACCCAAAAGATCGGATTTCATATTGTGACCAGACAGTAGTGCGAACACCACCTTTACAGAGGAGGTGATACCATTGCTGGAAAAAATAGGTACACTATGTAAAGCTTGCACACTTGTAAATACACTACTCTACATACATGTGTATGTATATATACATATGTACAGGTAGTCATTTAGATGCATATTTGTGGCTATTTATTTGCGCATCTCCAACAACAACAGCAACAACAACCATAACAACAATAAACACAATAACAACAACGATCACAACAACAAGCATCACAACAACAACCATCACAACAACAACCATCGCAACAACAAACATCACAACAACAAACATCGCAACAACAAACGCAACAAAGAAACAACAACAAACATTACAACAACAGACAGCACAACAACAAACATAACAGCAACAAACGTAACAACAACAAACACAACAACATAGAAGGTTCCAGCTCCCAAATTCTACAAATAACACGCAAACTGAAAGGTTCCTGCGCGCAAATGCGGCAAATAGCATGATAAATGGAAGGTTCCTGCGCCCAAATGCGGCAAATAGCCTGCAAAATAGAAAGTTCCAGCTCCAAAATGCTGCAAATAGCATGCAGCATGGAAGGTTCCAGCTCCAAAATGCTGCAAATAACACGCAAAATGAAAGGTTCCAGCTCCAAAATGCTGCAAATAGCATGCAGCATGGAAGGGAAGTGGCAGGATAGATGTAGGGGACGGAAAACAGAACAGATCAGGAAAAAAAATCCCCAGGGGAAAAAAATTCCCGGCGAGATTCGGCACCTGTTTTTTGGCATGTAGCATATAATTCATCCAGAGCAAAATGGGAATTTCAGCCAGATGGAGATTGATGTGGAGATGGGTCCATGCCAGACGACCATCTGGCAATGGGGTGGATTATTTTGATGCGAAAACCACTGAAGACCACAGTACCAGGGTTTTGACTCAGGTCATATGAATAGGTTTCATGACCCCACCCTTCACTTCGAATTCAGTCTATGTACGAATCCCGCGTTTTCTTCTGTCGCCAGCAAAATCAGAAAGGATCAGCAAATCCACAAAGACAGAATCAGCATCTTAGATTCAGCTGTCTATGGGATGCCGTCGGTCAAACTTGTTCACCCCAAAAATACACGTACTCGAATATCCACATGGGTTAAGTTGACCTTCAAGTTTGACCGAGATCAAAATTCTGCCTCCAAACCTACCACCATGGTTTCTGGCTTCTGTGGCTGAAACATGCTGAAACTATACTGTGAGCTTCGATGCAGGTAGATCTCAAACTTGAGGAACGAAAGGCCCTTTTCGCCCGATCATGTCCTGTCACGTCCAAGTGTTTTCTGCTCATCTGCCAATTTTAAAGTCTCAGACATAAACGCACCCCATCACAGCTTGCAGGAGAGTATGTTGAGGGAAATTCCTTTGACACCTGGATTTGCTTCGACGATTTTATATTTTCGCCCAGAAACATATTCGGACAGCGCACCATTTTTCTGGGAATCTACAGAGACCATGTTGATCATGTTGGGCTTTGAACAAAATGGCCTGCGGCGTGTTTTCCGAGGACGAAACCATGGTGAAGTTCAAGATGGGTCTGAAGAGTTGCCCATTGCACCTGAAGGTGAAGGCTCGAGGGGACTTCGTCAAAGATGGCGGCAAGTTGGGCTTCATTTGCAAACGCCTGGTGTGGCGCACCACCACGGAGATCAATATCGCTATCCGCCTCAGCGATATGACACCTGGAGATGACTGGTTTGAACACACGCAGGACGTAGTCATGTTCAAGTATTAGTAATGATTTCACAACAGTGCATAGAAATAGTTATTTGAAAATTGTTCTATTGTGGATGTAAAATCATGACTATTCTCCCTGTGAATCCCCAGTAACATTAAATTATAGATCAGACGCCAAAGTGCTGGATCAGCGACCAGATTGCATGTTTTTTTTTTTTGTGGGGTGAGGGGGGGTGGGGGGGCTATTAACATTCCTTGGTTCCCGATTCGTTGTCTTGGTTCCCAATTCCTGGTTCCCGACTCCTGCTTCCCAATTCGGCTGCCATCCTCAAACATATGGACATGAAGTGACCATCAATGAAAGATGATCACAGGTGATCACAGTGATTGGCCCATTTTTGTGGCCCAAAAACATGGTGACACGTATTTCTACAACCGTGTAGGCGTTGCGATTTTCATGGTGACCGCACATGGACAATATATGATTGGGGGGTGGGGGGGGGTGGGGGGCAGTGGGGGGGGTGACCACGTCCTTGATACTACGTAACACATGTCGAGGAACTGGAGACGTCTGATGCTATGTTGATGACGTGGGGTGGGGTCGGGTGGGGGGGTGTATTAACGTTCTGACGACCACGTCCTTGATACTACGTCGACAAGACATGTCGAGGTAACTTGGAAGACGTTCTTGATGCTACGTTGATGACGTGGGGTTGGGGTGGGGTGGGGTGGGGTGGGGGGGTGTATTAACGTCCTGACGACCACGTCCTTGATACTACGTAAGAGACCCACATGCGAGGTAGCTTGGAAGTTGCTCTTGATGCTACGTCTACGTCATGACGTGGGGGTGGGGTGGGGTGGGGTGCAAAAATTAACATAAATGTTTACACAGATGGATGTCAAAGTTGGAAGATGGTCGCCAGAGAAAACCGCAAGCAACGCTTGGTGGTGAAGTCCGTGGTCCACATGCGTAGCGAATGGACTCGGAAGGTGCGAGTGCGGGGAAGAACGAAAGTTGCAGGACCCCAACAAATTGATCCTTGTTGGCAACATCTCCCAGTCAAATGAAGAACCGCACTGGCCCAACAATCAATGCTAGATTCTGGGATAGAATCTATCAATGGATCTATCGCCACAACATGTCCAAGTGAGACATAGCGAGCAGATGCGAGATGAAAAAAAAGCCTCTGCAAACTTTTCATCGTCTCTTGACGAAATTGCTGATTTGAAAAATGACAAAACGTGAGGCATTTTGACACGTTGACGTCAAAAACACACGGTTGTGTAAGTCCGTGCTACCAAAAACATGGTATCAATGCCTGTAAGACTGTAAGAGGCCGTGTCGGTGATGACATCAGCCAATCACAGGATGGTTGAAATGTCCAAAACTCTGGTAATTTGCAGATTTTTATGTTCCTTCAGCGAAATTGTTGTTGATTTTCTATGGAAGGGTCGCCTCAAAATTGCGAAATCTATATAGTATTTTACCAAAACGAAACTGTTATTTTGTGTCCCGAGAGCTTTGCGCAAAAGTTTTTCCCCAACAGCGTAAGCTTGGGGTCTTCAGCCATAGTAAAGGTTCTGGAGCAGGTCGGAGCAGCCAAATCCGCACGGCGCAGGGTTGGGAACCGGGTTCCCAGGAAGGGTTTCCTTTTCCAAGAGAATCCCTCGGAGCAGCCAAATCCGCACGGCGCAGGGTTGGGAACCGGGTTCCCAGGAAGGGTTTCCTTTTCCAAGAGAATCCCTCGGAGCAGCCAAATCCGCACGGCGCAAGGTTGGGAACCGGGTTTCCAGGAAGAGGTTCCCAAGCAAGGTTCCCAGGAAGAGGATCCCAAGCAAGGTCTCCAAGCAAGGTTCCCAGGACCAGAGGTTCTCAAGCAAAGTTCCCAGGAACAGGGTTCCCAAGCAAGGTTCCCAGGAAGAGGCTCCCAGGTACCCAATCAAGGTTTCTAGGAAAGGTTACCAGGAACAGATTCTCAAGCAAGGGTTCCCAGCAAGACGTTCCCAAGCAGGGTTCCCAGGAAGAGGTTACCAAGAGGAAGGTTTTCAGGAAGAGGTTCCCAGGCAAGGGTCCCAAGAGGTTCCAAGCAAGGTTCCCAGGAACAGGTTCCCAAGCAAGGGTTCCCAGGCAAGGGTTCCCAGCAAGAGGTTCCCAAGCAAGGGTTCCCAGGAAGAGGTTCCCAGGAAGAGGTTCCCAAGGGAAGGTTCTCAGGAAGAGGTTCCCAAGCAGGGTTCCCAGGAAGAGGTTTCCAGGAACAGGTTCCCAAGCAAGGTTCCCAGGAACAGGTTTTGCAAGCACGGATTTCAGGAACCGTTTTCAAGGTTTCCAGGAACCGTTTCCCAAGCAAGATTTCCAGGAACATGTTTTTTCCCAAGCAAAACAAGGTTCCCAGAACATGTTTTCAAGCAAGTGCATCCAGGAAGAGGTTTAAGAGGTGTCCAAGCAAGGTTCCCAGCAAGTTTCCCAAGCAAGATTTCCAGGAACATGTTTTCCAAGCAAAACAAGATTCCCAGAACAGGTTTTCAAGCAAGTGCATCCAGGAAGAGGTTTAAGAGGTGTCCAAGCAAGGTTCCCAGCAAGTTTCCCAAGCAAGATTTCCAGGAACATGTTTTCCAAGCAAAACAAGATTCCCAGAACAGGCTTTCAAACAAGTGAGAGGTGTCCAAGCAACAAGCAAGGTTCCCAGCAGGCTGGTTCCCAAGCAATGTTTTCAGGAAGAAGTTCCCAAGCAAGGTTCGCAGCCACAGGTTCCCAGGAACAGGTGCCCGTACAAGGTTCTCAAGAACAGGTTCACTAGTAAGGTTCCCAAGCGCGTTCCCAAGCAAGGTTCCCAGGAAGAGGTTCCCAAGCAAGGTTTCCAGCAACAGGTTCCCAGGAACAGGTTCCCAAACAAGTTTCCCAAGAACAGGTTCACAAGTTAGGGTCCCGGAAAAAGCTCCCAGGCAATATTTCCAGGAAAAGGCTCCCAAGCAAGGTTGCCAGGAACAGCTTCTCAAGCAAGGTTGCTAGGAAGAGGGTTCTCAAGCAAGGTTCCCAGGAAGAGGTTCGCAAGCAAGGGTTCCCAGTTGCTCCTGGAAATTTTGCTTTGGAACCAGCTCTTCCTGGGAACGCTTGCTTGAGAACCTGTTCCTGCGAGCCTTGTTCCTGCTTGGAACCTTGCTTGGAAACAGTTCCTGGGACCTTGCTTGGGAACCGTTTTTTGGGAGCCGTACTCGCAAGCGGTTCCTAAGAATTTAACCTTGCTTGGAAACCTCTTCCTGGATACCTGCTTGGAAGCCTCTTCCTGGGAACTTGCTTGGGAACGTTTTTCCCCAACAGCGTAAGCTTGGGGTCTTCAGCCACGCAAAGAACAAGATTTCCAAGCATATTTCCCAGGAACAGGTTCGCAAGCAAGGTTGCCAGGAACGATTCCCAACCCAGGTTCCCAAGAACAGGTCCCCAGGCAAGGTTCCAAGGAAGGTGCCAAGCAAGGTTCCCAGGAACAGGTTCCCAATCAAGGTTCCCAGGAACAGGTTTCCAAGAAAAGGTTGCAAAAAAGGTTTCCAAGAATAGGTTCGCAAGCAAGGGTTTCCAGGCAAGGTTCCTGGGAACAGGTTTCCAAGCAAGGTTCGCAAGAACAGGTTCACAAGCAAGGGTTTCACGAACAGCGCCTCAAGTTCCCAAGCAAGGGTTCCAAGAACAGGTTTCCTTGCAGGGTAGCAAGGTTACCAAGCAAGGTCCTTGGGAACAGGTTCCCAAGCAAGGTTTCCACGGGCAGGTCCCCAAGCAAGGTTCCCAAGGACAGGTTTGCAAGCAATCTTCGCAAGAACAGGTTCCCAAGCAAGGGTTCGAAGAACAGGTTCCCAAGAACAGGTTCGGGTTCCAAGAGCAAATTCTCTAGGAAGGTTCCGTGCAATAGGTTACCAGCACGGTTCCCACGAACACGTTCCCAAGCATGGTTTCAGGTTGCTCATGTGCCCAGGAACAGCTTTCCAAGAGCAACTTGCAAAGCGAAATTTCGAAGAACATCTGCAAGCAAGGTTGGAAGCAAGAACAGAATCCCAAGCAAGGTTCCGAAGGACAGGTTCCTAAACAAGGTTCCCAAGCAAAGTTACGAAAAACAGGTTCCCGAGCAAGGTCCCAATGAACAGGTTTGAAGCAAGCAGGCAAAGTTTCCAAGAACAGGTTCCCAAAAGAGAGTTCCCAAGAACAGGTTACCAGTCAATGCTCCCAAGAGGAGGTTCCTAAGAATAGGCTCCCAAGAACAGGTTCCCAGGCAAGGCTCCCAAGAACAGGTTCCCAAGCAAGGTTCCGATAAACAAGTGTCAAGCAACGTGTCCAAGAACAGTTGCCCAGGCAAGGTTCCAAGAACATAGAACAACAGAATACTGCAAAGTTTGAAGAATTGTTCTAATGACGGAACGGAGAGATTGAAGAACTAGTTTTTCTTCAAAAAATGATACGGCACTCGCACATGGATAAAAACAGTAGACGACAACGTGGCATGAAAGAAAGCAGGAGGGAGGAGACGAGAAGATAATACACAAGAAAAATGATGATGGTGATGATGATGACGACAATGATGATGGCGATGACGATGACGAGGATGAATGGCGATGGAGATGATGATGAATGATAGCTGACGCGAGTCAAATGTCATATATTCACGATTTCATGCCTTTTTTGTCCCCGCAGAGGGTTTGCTCCAGGGCTGGCACCCGAGCGACAGTCAGAATCCAAAGACATGTTGTTTTTTACACAGCGAAAAAAATACACAGAGAAGATTTTACACACAGAAGCCTTTACACAGAGAGGGATTTACACAGAGCAGCTTTTACGCAGACGCTTTTGCACACAGACGCTTTTACATACAGAAGCTTTTACACAGAAAAGCCTTTTCTAAAGAAGCCTTACCACATGAAGCCTTTACACAGAGCAGCTTTTACACACAGACGCTTTTACACAGAGATGCGCCGAGCAGCTTTTGCACACAGACGCCCCCAGGCTTTGACGCACAGAAGTTTTTACACATAAGCTTTACACAGACAAGCTTTTACACAGAGAAGCCTCGACACAGC